ATGACATCAGGGGAGTACTGTAGTTTAGAAGCAAGTCAACCCTAGAATAATCCTTCAGTTCTATAGCTGCTTCACATTTCAACCTGGCAAACAGAAGGAATGCCACAAAGCAAACATGTGAATTAATGCAGCTAAAAGCATAATTTACAAACTAGAATCTACAACTCAAAATCTCAGCAGCTGTAACTCGGAGCTCTACAGAGCTGTGCCAATTTCAGCTGGCTACAGATCTGACCCAAGGCATTTAGCCGGTACAACCACAGTCCCAGATACAGAAGCTAATTCTGTGCCAGTGTAAAGCAGCAGGTCCTGCATGGAGGATGTAACCCCACAGGAGTCAGTTTAGCAGCTGGGGACCCATTTCAAAGAGTAAAGTGCTGGTTTTACAGGTCCTAGTTTGCCTGCCTCAAAGAGGAGAAGATGCTTTAATCCACAGAGCAAGGACAGCACAACTGGCAGCAAAGAGAGCACCTGCTGCAGCCCCTCAGCTCAGATCCTGTGCTAGAAGGGATGGCCAGGCTGGGCCTGCTTCTGTCTCTGGCTGCTCTGAAGAGCAATTGAGAGAAAGGCCCAAAGCAGTAGTGATCATTATGACTTGCACACCAGCATCCTGGGAACTAGGAGCATGGGGCACATTACTCCTAGGCTGTATTTCAAATGCAGGGAAAATATAGTACAGAAAAATTTAACTGGAGGTTAAACTCTTTGTTCACAAGACAGATAATAAATCAGTTGTTCACCTACCTGATCAAATAGGGCTTTCCAGTGCTGAGAGGTAATGCATAAGGGAGGAAAAAGAAGAAAAAGAGGTATAAGAGCAACAACATTAACATGCAGTTAACTGTAGAAGAAAGTTCTAACAGAGAAATAACCAAATGATATAGTGCCATTTCCAACATCCTTCTTCATCCCAGAATCACCTGCCCTTCTGGGGGAGGAGGCAGGAGGAATCTACCAACCACAGGGAGGACAGTTTTCAGTTACAAATCCAAATTAGGATGAACCCAAAAATGTTCATGGGTTAATTCTGTTTTCTCCTGCTTTGTCCACTTGTGGGCAACCAAGGAATAAAAGGCTTTTTTACTCACAGGGATCAAGAAAGCTTGGTGCATATTAAGGGTAGGGAGGAGCTAGCAGTGGTTTTTCAGATCACTTTCTCACATTCCGTGGCCCAAACTGCCTCGCCAGGTTCTCAAAGCCTTGTCTGCTGCCTGCTAATAGCTCTGGCAGGGACTTGCTGCAGGGTCTTTGATAACCCATCAGTTCTCTGAGCCTCACATGCCCACATCTGAAAAACAACCAATTCCTCTTACACAACGTGGGAGGGGGGAAGGCTGGAGAAAGCCCGTTACAAGGATTTAGCCCAAAACTTTTGTTGTAGCACATCTCTCCCTGTCACTTGGGAACAGAAAACAAACAAGTTGGCAACTGGCTCTGATTTATACTTTGTAGAAAGACCAATGTCAAGTCACCTCCCTGCCCCAGGCTTGCTGCCTCACAGTCCCAAAGAACAGAGGAAATTCCTAATGAATTGTTTATACTCTCTCTCATCTCTCCTGGATTTGGAGGCCAGCTGAGACCAACTTTCATGGGGCAACATTTCCAGCTCTCCTGTCCAAAGTGCTGTTCAGCACAATCCTTTGTTTCTGCCTCATTCGCCTTCCCAGAAAAGCAAAATTAATAAAATAACAACCATCAGGCTCACAGAACCAAATCTCCTCACTGTACTATATGCAAAGCAGAGCTCTGGTGAGAGTCTTATCTAGTCCTACCATTTCCTTTTACATGGTGGGCAGATGTAAAGCAAAACTGACTGGAGAGACAGTGGGGTATCAGGCCACTGAATTCCATTTAATCAGTTGTTGGCTCTCCTCCTCCCCATTTATAAAATCCCATTTATCATCATGAATCAGCTCAGCACTTTAAACAGAACATTTTGGGACTGCCTGAATACTGGCTTTGTGGAATACTGCTCTGAGAGCTGTAATGACATCAGAGCTGAGTCATTATACACTGTGCAGGCTGTGACAACCAAAACTCCACTACATAGTATTTTTGTGGTTAAATAACACATGAAGAACTGACCTTGTGTCAGTTCTTCCTTGCCAAGCCAGAGAGTTCACATCAAGCTTTCAATATAATAACCACCACCTCCAGTTAGGTCCCAGGGGGGCATGCTCCTAGCACAAAGAAGTCTGAATTTTCAGAGATGATGCTCTGTA